ATCAACGGTGAATTGTAAATTGAATTATCTTAGCCATTTATGGTTTCATAATATTTATATAAATGTATTTGTAGAATTTTTCCTAGCATGATCTGGAAAACTAAGGAGATTCCATAAAAAGTTTTCTGTTGACACCAAAAAAGATTTTTCATTCCGATATTTTGTAATTAAGAGCTAAATTCCATTCAACTCTTTATAAACAATTAAGATATTTAAAGCATCATAGAAGAATAAGCTTGTTTCAATTATAATTTTCCAAACAATGTTTAATTTGTCACAATCTCAAAGAATGAATATTTGGATAAACCGTAGTGAACTAAAAAACAACTAAAGTTTATTATTATATCATGCTATCAAACTTCAACCAAATTACAATAATCTAATAATATTATTTCTAAGTAAATCCATACTGTTTTAATTAAAATATCTATGAATAAAATTTTCACTTATGTAATAAATAGTAATTTTTTAATGACCCATTTAATTTATAAATAAACAAAAATTGTGACTAAAGTTAGTTAATTGATCAACTAATAAAATAAAACATTTCAATTAAGCTTATTGAGGTATAATTAAACATTTTTGATTATCCTAGAGTTAAAAAGAGCTCATAGGTCGTGTTATAACATATTTTATTTTATTAATTTAAGTATTAACTTATTAACTTAATTTAGTATTAACTTATTAAAGTTTATATATGTTGCATTTGTGATAAAGCTTTATATATTTCATTACTTTATTTTTTCATCGATGGTTTCTTCCAGGGTTTAAAAAGTAAAAATTATTATGAATTTTAGTCTATAACAGGTATAGGAAGAAACATTTTAGTATCATACCATTGATGTAGTTTAAGTTTGAAAAAATCACTATTAATTATTTTTAAAATATGTTTATTGGAATTTACAGCTATATTATCTAAAAATACAACAAGTAAATGTGAATTAGTATAATTACATTGATGGATTTGTAGAGAAACTACTTATTGGTAGCGCTCCAATTATAGTACTATATTAGAAGGGCCCGAGGCTGTCTTATTTTCATACACCTCGGAGGGTTATCAGGAATCGATGAAGATTCTTTCGATGAAGAATGTTAGGAACTAGAGGATTTATATAGACCTGAAATTTATTATGGAAGAAGAGATATCTGTATTGGGCTAAATAGCTAACATTAAGGTGGTCATTATGGATAATTTTATTTGTTACAAAGTAAGATCAAGTTCCATATAAGTTCAAATAGGCCTTATAGTGAAGTAAATGAGTCTTTTATAGATATTAGAAGCTTAGAGCATTTGTCTAGTAAGTGTTGAAGTAGCTGGAAATGTCTGGCAGTTTCTTGTCGTTTCAATCTCGTATGAGGATTCCAAGTAAGATGTTTGTCCCGAATTCTAAATTTGTGGAGCTATTTAACTTAACAGGGATAAATGAAACATTACTGTAGCATACTACAGGATAAGAAGTCATAAGTTAAAAATATTTCAATCGCCCTTCTTTTTTTTTTTTTCTTTTTTTTCTTTTTTTTTTTTTACCCAAAATCTGATATCAATGTTTTATCTTATTCTGACCTAAGAAATTATATATAGTTAACGAGGACTTCAGATAGTTTTATATTATATTTCATATTAATTTTGTTATGTGAATTAATTAATCTGTGGATTTAATGAGTATTTATGTAATTAATCATAATTTTTACACCATGCAATTTTTAAATGTAAATGAAAAATCAGAAAATTTGCTTTAGTTTTTACCATTTGCTTTCTTATGTTTCTTACTATTATATATTTATTATTTTAAATATTACTTATAGTTAACTATGATTTCATTTTATTATCAATATTTAAATTTCTTTAAAACATCTAAGTCACCATTTTGATCATATACAAAATCCATCTCAAATCATCAAGCTGCCTCTAAGATGCATTTATTTGTTGTTCTTGCTGAATTAAAGTAAAATTCTTCTATATTTTTCTACTCATTTGACTAAACTATTTCATAAAATTCATGTGATTCTTAAAATCCATCTATAGTGTTATATATTTCTTTTATGCTGAGATAGAGTGATTTTATCTTTTTTATTATCAGCCTTATCTCCTGGATGACTTTTTCTTCCAATCCTTAAAATCCAAAATCATTATACAATCCTGATGTTTGCACTCCGTATTGTGTATAAAATCTCAACCATCCAATTGTATTTTGCCTGTTAGAGAACTGTTCTTATGTTATTCACAGTTTATTAATGTTTGTAAATAAACTCTAGCTTTGTTTAAAAACTATTTTTTCTATCAATCATCTTATTATATTCTTATGTAAAGAATATATGTATGCAATTTTTGCCATTGGCTGTTAGGCAGATACATGCAGATAAATGTTGTTTAAACTATTACATTTTAGATTGTTAGACATTATGACCTAAAATAATTTTTTTTTTTAAATTATGTTATGGTAAGTTTTTTACATTTTGTTGTCAGTTAAATGTTTAAATTTTAACTTATATAAATGGAAGTATGTGACTAAACTAATTAAGTTTTATCAGTACTTTCATATTGTTACATCATATATGTATTGATATAAATTATTTTTGTAATGGAATTATATTTTTCCTTTTCAGAAAGGTAACAAAAACATTCTTATCAAAAAAATTTTTTTGATGTTCTAAGATAATTTGATTTTCAAAATGAATTAATTTCTGATAAATTATGAAATTTTAATATTATAATGTAAATCTTATATTTACATTTACAAAATAACATTATTTAATATTTATGATATAATGTGAAAACTATGTTAGATTAATAAATAAAATGTCAGAGTATTCCCTATTCATTAATTTTATCATTCAAAAATATATTTACTAAGTATATTAAAGTAATGAATGAATACAACTTGAGGCAAAAACAATTTGCACCTTCCATCTATTGTGTTAGCTGTTATTGATTAAAATTGATAATAGTAGCTCTTTTTTTCACTACAAAGAAATAAGTTATTTTTATTTAAAATATTATTTGATTTTTTTATTATTGTTAAATTCAATTCTTTCTAATTTCTATTCTGTTTGTTTCAATACATACACTCACAAAGTTCAGGCACATTAAAATAAAAACAAATCCTTAATTAGTAAATTAGTTAAAATAGAACTAGAATTTAAAGTTTAAACTTAGCTGAATCATAATAAACATTTTGAAATTGGCCATACGAAATGTCTCGAACTCTTAAGAAGATTGGAATATTAAAATCGAAATTCTTCAGTATCAATTTCCATTCATTGATCTGTTTTTCTGAAATTTTAATGTTTAAAACTTACAAATTGTCTTATGGGTTTATGACCTTTCATGATAATTTAAAAAAAAAACTTATGGTTTTTTGATAACATTACAAAAAATATTATTAAAAAGAAAAAAGAAATTTTATGTAATGCAGTTAGATTTTTTTTATATTAATAGCTATATTTTGAACATTTGTAACTAGATATATTAAATTTGACATTTTGTTAGCTTCCTGATTTTTCTTTTACTATCAAAGGAACAAAAAATGCAATAAGTTAGTAAATTAATATTTATTCTTTAATGGTAAACCTTGAAAATGTGTGATTTTATTATTTATGACAAATTAAAAGGTGGGCAATATTTATTTTTCTTTAAAAAATAATTTTGTAATTTTGAAATTTATTGAGCCTTCAAATTGACCGAATGAGATAAAATTGTCAACTTCCTGCATTTGAAATTTATTGATAATTAAAGTACTGCCGAGTCTATTTATCGTACATTAAAGTATAGTTAAATTAATATATATATATTAAAATTGTAAGCATTTGACAATTTAAAAAAAAAAAATATATGTATGATATATTAATTGATTCTATTCTTAAAAATATTTTGGAATTAATTTACTTTTCGTAATGATGGTTTGTCATAATGGATACCTTGGATTGACAGAACCTTAATCATACAATTCTACTGATACTTTACAATTCCCTTTTCTATCTTTGTAGAGGTCCATTATGAGAAATTGTGAAACTGAACTGTCGATGTAATGGGGAATAATGTGCACTTTTTATAACCATAGATATACATCCAATGGAGTAAAATATTTTCCATTAATTAAAAAGAATTTTTACCAAATAATTTCATCACATTATGTAAAATATATATATATATATATATATATATATATATATATATATATATAAGAAGGGAGTAATCATATCCAAAAATATAATAAAAAACAAATATTGAGAAATATTTTTTCTGTTCTAGGAAAATATATGTTTTATTCTATAAGATATTTTGTGAATCTTCTTCAATAATTTCTTTTTTTTTTTACATGGTTTGTTCATCTATTACATTTATAGTTTTTCTAAGTTGGAAATATTTTTAATATACAAAAGTTATATGATATTGAAACAGAAAATATAGATAAAAAATAGGTATAGGAGGGATATGCATCTGTAGCAAATTTAATAATATATAGTGAAAAAATTATAAGTTATATTCTTCAAGATGAGAAAAGAATTCATAGAACATTAAAAAGCACTAAATAAACAAAGTATGTATTAAAAAAATAAATTATTTAGAAGGAAATGTTCACAGCATACCTTACATAATAAGAAATATTTTGAATATATTAATTATTGTATAAAAGAAAGAGTTCAATTTTGTACATAAAAAAAGAGTTTAGATTAAAAATTAATAAAAACTGTTTTCTTTCCAACAACTCCATAATATTTATGCTTTATTACCTTACCACCTTCATTATTTTTTTAAATACTATAATTTACTTGTTTTTTATATAGCATTATTTGCATTTTAATTATTTGTCCATAAACATTTCTATGGTTAAGTAATTAACACGTTGTTTTTATTCGTATTTTTTAAATCTGTTTAATTTTTTGTATGATGCTAATTTTTATGAAAGCACATTTATAGGCTTTGTTAGTTAAAATTTACCCCTATGACAAGAATTATTTGCTGTTGAAATCATTAATTAAATACATTTTTATTTCAGGTGAGAATGCTTGCAGACCCTTCTGCAGAATTCACCAAAGCCTTGGAGTTGGATACTAATTTACCACCTTTGGGTGGTGTTCGATCAAAGAGATATTCAATGGTCATTGATGATGGTGTTGTTACCAAATTGAATGTAGAACCCGATGGCACCGGACTCTCATGTTCCTTGTCCAAGAATTTGAAATTTTAAAAAGTTTTAAAATATCAATAGAATATATGTATAACATTGTATAACTTTTTTTCACATTCTTTTACTCTTGTATCACTGTTAGCTAATGTTCTATTTTTAGGATGAAAAGGTAGTCTAAACTACTATTTTATTTGTATTTGTGATATATTGGGCTTATATTATACTGAAAGTATATATTGTTATGTTATTAGTAAAATAGGTGATACAAATGTATGATTTTTATGGATACAAAATAAATTTGATTTTAATTTGAAATGTAATTTTTAGTATGCTTGTCTGGATTTATTTGCAATCTAATTAAGTGTAATGGAAGTGAACTTGTGGGAATGTTTAATATTATTTCAATGGTAATCCGATTCAGCGTTTAGTAAGTATGAATTTTATAATTTGTTTAAAAAAAGCAGTCTGCCATTCCTAATGAGCATGGAGGGAACTCATCAAACCGTGTAGTTATGGAATTGGCCACTACACAGTGCGGGCGCTAATATCGCGGATAGTCTACAACCCAAAGCAATTGTGGTCTTTGTAGTCTAGAACCCCTCAGTTCAGTAGCTCTTTAAGTCAATTTTTTGTTTATTGCTATTTCTATTAACATATATAAGGTAAGTTTAGAGATTTAATAAGTGTTTTGCTTATAAAATTGATATAATATCTTTTTATTAGTACTTAATTTAAATATTGAATTTAGTTCTCCCCCCGCTTTATCGAGCACGAAGCCCGCGCCATCTTCATTTTGAACAAAGACAAGCCGTGTGTCTCTTGCAGTGCGTTAGTTGAAGTGATTCTCGACATTTTAGCTTGACGATGAGTTCGAAGGAAAATAACTCTGAAGTAGCGGTGGAGAAGGCCACAGAAAATAACGACAAGGCCTCAGACGCGAAAGCAGATGTCAAAGGAACCAAAAGGCCAGCGGAGGTGAGTGACTCAGTTTTATGTGTTTCGTAATACAGAATGTAATGCATCTTGTATTCATTAAGGTGTCAATTATTGTTGATTTTTATATATTTATTGATTTTGTATAAAACTGTCCTTATTTATTTAGTTTTGTCTGTGTTGATAATCCTGTTCCATGTGCGTGTAACCGGCCGGGACGGCGTTTTCGTCATCAAGTTATCTGCACGGCCCGTTGAAATTCTATGTTATCGATTCATTCTCATAGGCGGAAGCGATTTTCCCGATCGTTCCTACGTGACTTACTTGGAGGACGCGGTTATTTGTGTAGATAAACAATTTGACATGTTGTTTTGAAAATGGCGTCCTCCTAAGAGCCCTCTAGCGAGGCTATTGTCCTTGATTTGAAGTTGGCCGATTCCACAAGAGCGTACCCCCGCGAGGCTACCGAATCAATATGCCGGTTTCATCTCCCAACTATTTATCACTTTTAGTGATATATTCTTATGGATTATGGTTGATTAAATCGATATTTAAAAGAAAAAAAGTGGTTCCCGATAGTAATTCTATTGTTATACTTAATTATGAAGTGTATCATTTGTGTGATAGTAACTTTTTTCAAGATCTCTTCCGCTTACTCAAGGGTTGTTATAGTTTCTTATGACATTTAACGAGTTATTAATGCCTACCGAATGCAATCTATTAATGGATAACTAACGTTATGCCAAAAAGCAACAGGTCTGCGATGTTTATGATAAAATCGAACATGTTGGACCTCATTAATTCGTTGTGTAATTATATCAATTATTTACTTTTAGGTTTTTTTTTTGTTGTACTTCTTTTTTTTTCGGGGTGTACTATTATTGTTTTGGTTGTTTCAACCCCCCGTTGTTGATCGCCGACGGCGGTTGAGGCAGATGTCGCGTCCCCATTGTGCGAGGCTAGGAAGGGTCGAGGCCCCCGTTGCCCCAACCGCCGCTTTCCCCTCCCCCCTTGGCACATCCCCTTCCCCCATTTCCCACGTCGTCTCACCTTGCTTCCCGGCTTCCTCCATTATTTTTAGTGCTTTCTTTCTATAAACCCCTACTCTCATCACTAAACTATTTTTGAAATATGTTAATTATAACTTAACCATTTTATTTTTTCTTCCTCCCCTGACATTCATTTTTAGAGGACACAATTTGTTTCATCTTTATTTTAATTCATTAAAAAAATTAAAATTTGCCTTATTAGGAACTTATTAACATTACTATGTAATTCTTTTATTTTATATTGGATTATTGAATTTATATTTTCATTATTAGAACATAACTAAGCAGAATTTCTTTATTTTTTTATCAAAATTATTACAGCTTTATCAGATGTCAGTGAACTTGACATTTTTCTGAAGATCTATCTTCCATAAAAAAAAAAAAAAAAAACATCTCATCAAATAATCTTTTAGAAAATGCAATTTTCGAATTTACTAAATTTTCCGTTTTTAGAAAGATTCGAATAAAGGTAGAAATATTTTCTAAATACTTAACCTTTGTTCATACCATAATTTTGTATTAAGATAAATTTCTCTAAATTATTTTAAAAAATTCTCTAAAAGCAAATTAATTGCAAGCTTATTCAGGAGATCCCATGGCCTTCATTATCATACCTTGTTTACCTTTGAAATATTACTTGACTTTTGGTTTACTTTCACCCAGGTTTTCAGATGTCAATGATAATTGAATTATTCTGTGTTGGCCATTTATTTACTCCTCAATTAATAATTATTAATTTATAGTGTTTTTCCATCCATCTAGCCATTTCCTGCTTTCTATTTTTTTCCAGTTAATTGGTGTTCTTATATTCAATAATTCATATAACTCATTGTAAATTTATCTAATTTTAATCACGCTATTATTTACTATTTAAATAACTAAAGAAAAGGAACGTATAAGCATTTTTTTTTTAATTTAAAAATAATGAGGAACTAATAGGTTATTTGCATTTTTCTTTGTCAATCTGTAAACTAAACCTTTGTGGTCAAGGTGAATGGGTTTAGACAGATCGATATGAATGTAAATTAGCTGTAGTAAAATTTGGCATCCCGTTACTACTTTTTATACAGTAAGCTATCTATATCTATTGGCAAAAATTAATGAATTTTTATTGAGTAATATTCAGTAGTCTGCCCACATTAATAATGTTATAATAAGTTATTTTTATAACTACATGCCTGTATAATTATAGCCAAAGAGATTCATATAAGATAAACTATATCTCTATCCTAAATGAATTAATCGTTGACTTATTTAAAAATTTATTGAGATTTTAACAGCTGATAAGACGTAAAATTATTTATAGGTTGCTCTCTGTAAACTTAGTTTTAACCTTTCTGTCTTCCTACCAGGATAGATATTGTAGGTTTCATCTCTGAATATTACTCTTTTGTTTTTAAATGAAATACTGAAAAATCTGCCTGTTAAAGAACTTGTTTTTGTATTATTACATTATACTAACAATAATTCATTCTGGTCCTGGGAAATATCGTGGAATAAAAGCCATTTTGCATTTCATATTTATTATTTCCCTCCGTTGTGTAATCGAGTGAATTCGTATTTTCTTAGTTATCTCTTGATAACACTTGTGATAATTTTATTTATAACGGTATCGCTTTTAACCTAGTATTTTGATTAAACTCCTTTTCGAAATTATATCTAAAATTGCTTTCTCAATAAAATCTTTCTGTAATTATTATTGCTCAATACATCATATACTATTTAGTATCAATACAGCTTGATTTAGTTTTATGTTTATATGTAATTTATATTAAAACCTTAGTATGCGCTTGTTTCCTCCAGAGCTCGTGACGTTAAATTTGTCTCTAGTTTTTTTTTATCTAGTTATAGCAGGTGTATTTCTATATCGACTTGGTTGATGAGCGTGTTACAAGAGTAAATTCTCAATTGTTTATGAATGTTTTGCATATATAATTATTATTGAGTTTTGTTTGTGTTATGATGGGAGAGTGAGGAGATGAACGACTTGATTAATCTTTCAAAGATTTGAATATTATTAATAATCTGAGTTCTTAATCTATTTTGAAAAAAAAGACAATATACAAACCTTTTTAATTTGGTTGTCTTAGAGCGTGTACCGGCACAAATTATTCTTTTTTCGATAAAAAACGATGTCAATATAAGTACGTTTATATCATTCAGAAATGTTTTAAATAAACTTTACAGGCAGTTGTTTTTCAAATAGAGACTATTTCAGTTGTTTCTTCTTTCCCCTCTGCTAGCGCATCTTGTTATTTTCAAGGTGTTGCATCAAGTGAGATGTATCGTCAGGGGGCGTCAGTACACCGTAGTCCTAGGATCCGTGGGTAGAACAAGATAATCATTTCATAAAGAGGGGATATAAAGCTTAATCATGAAAGTATATGTTATATATATAGTAACATTTACCTTGCCCGTAATTTAAAAGTAAGTGTAATGCCGTCATAATTAATAAAAACCTGTACAACTAATTAGATCAGGAGTTTTCAACCGGCGCGCCGCCATATTGAGACCTCCAACAAGTCTGCTTGTGATGAAAAAAAACGATTTTGTTTTACAAATGATAATTAATTTGTTTAATGAGTTTTCTAAGAGATTAAAACCATGCATAATATGCTGAGTATCCATAACGTCTTGTGTAAGTAATTTGCTAAAATTGATATTTTTATTTAAATTTACCAAGTAATCAAAGAGACTTTGGCGGGCTGGATTGGAAATGCACGCGGGCCGTAGTGTAGAGACTCCTGAGTTAGATTGTTTTATTACTAATATTATATATCGATTTAGCCGTTACATAAGAAAAAAGCTGGATCTGATAAGAAATTGCATTTCACCAGCCAAGCTGCTGGTGTCTTTCAGTTTAAAAACTTAAATTATTCATTAAATTTTTATGAGTATGTGGCATTTTTAATAATGATTTTAATTCGTGTTTCTGAATATTTGCAAGCCATGTTCGAAATTACACCTTCTAATATCCAATAATTATAATTAATTCTTTGCAGCGTGTCTATGACTCAATTTGTAATTATAATTATACCAGCTTCAATGAGCCCTTACGGGTTTTATTCCTCTATGTAAATCTGCTTAACAACGGCTTGGCAGTATCATGCTCAGTTGGATTCAGATGAGATTAAACATTTCTAGTGTATACGTCCATTAGCCGAGAAGCATATGTACGTATAGCATACGTAGCTAACTACCTCAAGTAATTCCATTCCTCGCGCTATAACATCAATTATAATCCGGCACAAGTCACGCGATTCCGCGAATGATTACGGTTGATCATCGTAGTACTGAACATTTGTTTATATCTTGTCTAAAACATTTAACCATATCGTCATATTTTCATCTTCGTTTCAAATATGTCTCTCCTAGATTCGTGTTTGTTTGACGTTCTTACAAGTGATTACAATTTCGGCCTTGAACGTGAATAATTCGATATGAACCTCATTACTAAAACTTAATTATTTATGATTCAGGTTTTTATAGCCCAATAGTAGAGAATGTATATTAAGTTACTCTTGTAGAAGAGCAGACTAGTATAATGTCTATAATATCGAGACACATTTTACTAGGAAACTTATTTATATTGAATATTTAATTAAAGCTAATTCCTAAAAGGTTAATATTTCCTTGCCAGCGGGTAAACGTCCGAGGGATAGACCGAAGCGAAGGTGGAAAGATTGCGTTATGGCCCGATCTGAAGGGAGGACTGGGTTTGGACGGCGACCGGTAGAGGGAGGTGTGTTATCAGAGATTGGTGATGTCGGGTTCGCCAAGCCTTTTATTAGTACTATTTAATTACCGCCAAACTCTTGATCAACAACTTTGTGATATGACGAGAGAGATCATACCCTCAGGGCTATTGTTGGGAACTTCAGTCTCGGCTTCCGCGAACGATAGCCCTAAGGATGGTCCACAAGTTTGGCACGAAACGTTGGCTAATCCAATAAATATTTTTAATTAATATACGTTCTATTTTCATTCTTGTAAATTTCAAATGATATTGCAAGTTTATTGTCAATTGAAAATCTCAATTTTTTGTGCGCCGCCTGATAGCACAGTCAGAAGCAATCCAGCGTGGACATTATACAATCCTTTCTGAAATGTTTCAACTTATAGTAAGTCAACAACCCTTTAGAACCTTATTTTACATAGGGACGGGTATATAGTTGACTGATTAAAATGCAAGGATTAAATAGTTTGAAAATGCTGCCATTTTTGGTGTTCACTAAGTTTGTCGACGTTTAGGCCCATGTTGGTCATCACGGAAGCAATAGTTAAGGCAAGAACTGCATATGAATCCATATCTGGGTCGAAACAGACGGTGACAACCTTAAAACATATATGACTGTTTTTCCTCCTTTCATTATTTATGCCGAGTGTTGTGTAAAGCATTCGATGCCTAAGGAATAGTTGCCCTGGAAATAGCCGGGACGGCGTGGCCTAGGAGCGGGGTGGGGGGAGGGGGTGCCCTGGAGGACCGGCATGGCCGCTCGGCTCATATCGACTTCCCCCTCCCCTCGTCCCGTCCGCTCCCCCCTTCCCGCCTCCGCTACCCGCTCCGGCCAATCCCGAGCCTTCCTTTAGCTTCTTTCGAAATTCGCTCGATACCATTAACTTTATCAAAAATATCGACCAAGATTGTTATTATTATCTATAGATAGATGTCCCGGTTCGTTTCATTTAAAAAAGGAAAATCAATCTCAATCTTGAAGAAAATCCAAACATGGATATATTCCTATGTGAAAATGCTCCATGAATGACAATGTGTTTCCAACACACTAATTTAATGCCTTTCTACATCCCGTTTTACACGGTAGTTCAGTTCTCAGCCACCAGGGGAGATCACTGCTGGATCTACAAGAGAGTATTTCTGGATGAAGCCTCCCCTCCCAAAATAATATAAAAAAAAATTCCTTCAATGACTACTTACCCCTCATTTCATATAACTATTTCTTCTCCCCCAAAAAAAGTCCTGGATAGTCTACTGGTTTCCAGAAGATTAACCTTTTCTTGTGTATTTAGTTATTCCTGTTAAAAAATTGATGAATAATTTACAATTTCCGATTATTCAACTTGATATAATGGGAAATATATGAAGAAATAAACCTCAAGAATAACAAAAAAGTTCACATAATCAATGTAATTATTATTCAGAGTTGCTCTTTCTCTTAGTAGTAAAACTTTATTTATCTTTATTTTTTTTATTTAGTTACGCCAATATTATCATTACTTTCTGGACGACTCTTGCATTAGTTCTATACAAGTCATATCATCTACCCTAAATTACTATTGTAATTTTTTTTTTTTTTCTTGCTATTCCTCTTAAATTCTAAAATAACACCATGAGCTGAACTCATAATTTCGTGAGAGACACTACTTTTGCTATTATTGACTCCCCACCTCTTTTTTTTCCCCAACTAACTGAATATGTTTTCATTGGCACATTATTCCATGAGTTCTATCAACTAACCACCGTCTAGTGCCATATTTATTTCAGTAAATGCTGACAAGGAAAAAACACTAAGTTAAAGTTTAGTTAAACTATTATGTTTTAAATACTTATTAGGGCAGATTTGAGGTGAAAAAAATTATATATTTATAACAACGATTTAATAGTTATAACATATTTTATATTATATAAAATAAAAATACCTTAAATATTAAAGTTAAATATATAAAATCACCTTGTTATAGGAATTGTCCGAATCATAAGTTAATTATTTTATGAGTAAAATTACATATTGCTGAATGTATACAATCAATAGCTGTGTCTAATTAATTACATTTTTTAGTTATCTTTTGAAGAATTATAAATACAGATTTTTCATTTTATTGCTTCAGGACAAAGGTGATGATGTGAAGAAGGCCAAAAAGGAGGAAGAAAATGGTAGTGTTGAGATTTTAGAGGAGGAGATCTTAGATGAAGAAGAAGAGGAAGATGATGAGGATGAGGGTGAAGACCAACTTAGTGAAGGTGACGAATTAGGAGATGAATTAGGGGACGATGGGGAAGGTTCATATCTTATTCATTATTAAAAATATTTTCTTAATATAATAGTTTTAAAGGATTATGTTAAATAAATATCCTTTCTTTTAGATCATAGTTTTTCAGAGATTATTACAATTTTTGACATCAATTTTTTTTTATTGTGTTTCAGAAGAAGAGGATGAAGACGTAGCCGCAGACGAAGAATCCGATGCGTAATGTCCAAAGTGGTGACGCACTGTGAGCGACTAGGCAGGGATAAATTTACCGGAAATTCCTGCTTAGCCCCCCACCTTCTGTGCTACCATGTTCAACATAAAAACATATGTTTTTTAATTTAAACAAATATATGAACACTTTGTTTATTTCTCAAAGATGAATGGAGGAGATAAAAACACAAGCCCCTGCCCTACGAACAAGAGGCATGTTGTTTTTTTAATTGTAACTTTGTAAAAAAAGAAATAGTTTATAAGAATTGTAAGGTATTCTCTCTGGTTAATTATATAGAATGGAATTGATGTGACTATGTATTAATTGATCGAACTGTACAAATATTTAACTACTTTTCTCTTAGTATGGTAATAAAAATAAATTTTTTGTTTAAATATTGTGCCCATTTGTTGTGGGCAATGACTTTCTATTTATGAATTGGTGACTCTATGAGTGCTACTTAACTAAGTATTTTTTAAATTTTACTCGACCTGCAGGTAAATAATTAAGTTAATTATCTTAGATAATGTGTGTGTTCATACTATGTTATACATGTAAGACCAAGCATTTGAAGGAAGATATAAAATTATTGATAGAAAATGTTTAACTCATTCCATAGAGAAAAAAAATGTTTTTTTTTTATTCCTTTTTGAAATAATTTATGTCATGAAATATGTAAGTTCCATGCCTAGATAAATTCTTTTTTTTTTTCTTCTTTTTTTAATAAAAAATATTTAAGTACAAGAATGTTGTAGTGTGTAATTTACTAAACTGGTTAGCTTTAGGTTCGAATATATGGTTGTATTTCTTATCCTGTTTTCATTCCCTTTAAAATATTCTATCCTGAATTGGAATTTTTTGCCCTTTTCCAAAACGCTTTGTTAAATTGCTTTTATATTGTATATTAAGGTTAAGGGCAAAAATTTAATGGGGATAGCGAATATTTATTATTATTTTGGTAGTAGTCCTCTTCTTAATTTGTGTTCCGTCCATGATGGTTTTTCTTAATTATTTTTTCCTTTCCCTTTATCAGTTATTACCTTATGCCTTATTTCTGAGCTCAATGACTCTTGATATTACCTTCTTTTTTTTTTTAAATCACCGATATATTTAAATAATTGTACACCTAGTTGTAAATTATAATTGATAGAGAAAAAAAAATTAATATTTATTATGATGAGTGGGTTATGGTCTCTAAAATGGTTCAAAGTTTTATGATGAATTTTATAGTTAGGTACTGTTGAGTTATTTTCTTTTCTTTTTACCTTATCTGTACTGAAGTGTGCGGGTTGTAATGGCAGGTAACTCAAGAAAAGAAAAAAGAAATTTAAACACATTCCTGACAAGACAACCCTGCTACCTGATTTATGTAGAGACTGTCCAAGCTGAAAGCGATTATAGCTGGGTCTTATTAATTAGTTTAATTATAATGTTTTATCAATGATGGATTTAACTCTAAATGAATTTTTGTATAATGAAAATACTGAGGATGATTTTGTTACTGTGTTTTGAATTTTAAAAACCAAGTCCTTTTTACTTTATTTTTTTATCCTTTTTCCCTCCTGACATATAGCATGATTCCAGTTACTAACTCCTTGATGTTAAAAAGAATAATTGAATTATTTTAATAAATAATTTTTATTTCCTGTAAGTTACACTTCCAAACTATCACTTATATATACCCAGTTGATGGAGACTTATTGTTTTTTTCTTTTTAAGTTATTCAAAATTTGTAACTTCGTCAAACTATCATTTTTCACGTTTGTGATTGTGGATTCCTAAGTTCAATTTGTAGATCTATTAATAACCAAAGATTAGTTAATGAAATGCATGTTCTTAAATTATTCAAGTTAGTATTGGTTAATGGAGTTTTAAGTATTTTCTTTTATTACATCCTTGTGCATGTTACTCCATTTTTTTTAGCATTAAAAGTGCAAACACCAGTATTATGTCAGTAATTAAATTATGTTATGTAATTAGGTTTTTTTTTTGGTAAGTAGTCTTAGTTTAAAATATTTAAAAGAAATATTTTCATACCAGTTACTATCTAATGTTCATTTCCAAAAATAAAATTATTGAAAAAAGAGAGGCGAAGTTGGTTCATGCTGAATCATTTTTGTTTCCCTAATTTCAGGATTTCAACAAACCAATTTATTTTTTATGATTTGGTCTAATTTATCTAAACCCATACTGATTTGTTTCTATCAGTTGTATTTGTGATAAATTCTTGATATAGATATCAAGTGACCTTGGGTTATTAATTAAACGTGATCAGTAGCAAGTCAGCACGTGGTTAAGTAATCTGGGTTCGTTAGGAATTTTTTGTTAAAACGCTCGACGTTATTCAATTGACAAATTTATTGTGAGTTTAATACGTACATTTATAATAAAATTAAAATACTAGTTCTTATAGTTGTGGGCCAATCTCGTGTCATTTTTATGAAATCCTAAATGTCCTGAGTCTGTTGAGAAAACGGGGGAGAGGGGGTTACGAATAGCTATCTGTAATTTTAACTCACTCGAAATTTAACAGATACAAAGGGAAATTTCTTAAAATCAGCTCAGTACCCGCTGATGGTATCAAATAAGTTTCTGGAATGAGCCAACGATAAACTCAGCCCATGAATTGAAAATTGTTATAGATACGTTAATAGTTTTCTGAAAAAGATGCAGATAGGTGCTTTTGAACATAGTTCTTAATTTATTTTGCTCGTCAAGTTCTGAAACATCCATCTATATTAAATTAGCAGAAACTGTTTCTACCCTCACTCATGATAAACCATTTTCTCTTTACTTGAGAAGTGACATACCTAGACTTATTACTTGCGTTTAACAGAGGCATAATTTTCCCCTACTATCTTAACACCTTACTGTTAATAAATATAGATAATTGTGTTAACTGACTTGTATATAACGTTAAGGTTATACTGCGTGCCTATTTTCGAATAACGATAATTTTAATGTTCCCGACCGTTATAATTACGAGCACGCGTACTTTTTCGGCTAATCAACCACAGTAACTAAGACTATAGATAATTTAAAACAGTAAATGGAAGAGGTTAAAACAATAAAGACAAATTAATTAATATAACAATTGAGATTAATAATACGATCAACGTTAAAGGGTAAATAATGAACAAATTCCATGCTTTTAATGACAGGTATACGAATAAAGATAGTAGACAATGAAACATTTTTAACTTAAAAGTCAGATTGAAATAAAATTACAACCTAGATTCAGGTAATCAATTTCACTATTTCTGTGCATCATAATTCCATTTTACCATGAAGCGGTAGAGAATCAATGATAGTAGTAAAATTCCTTAGAAAATTATGTATAAAAACATCAAATATGTTTTCGTCATAGAATGTTAAGAAGATGCAATCGTAAGTAGGATTTTACGAACTTACTTTTCCTTATAAAATAAATGTTTTGTGAGATTTATGACTGTTTTATACAGCGTATCTATTTTTTATAATTAACAAAAGGCGCAACTTCGAAGCTAAGCCCCATTTTCGATAAGTATGGGGCCCCTGCTCTTCGATCATCAAATAGGTGTGCCGCTGCTTACTATCGATTAGAACGTTTCGATATTTTTGGTATCGTTTAGACAATCAATCTGTTATCTGCTGAATAGGTCACTCCATAATATCCCATAGGCATTTTTCGTTATATGTGAATAATTAAAATAGGTACAACATGAAATAATATTTAAAAATTCGAATGAAATAATATTTAAATATTATATTTTTGTGTAATGGACAAAGGTACAAGCAAGGATATTGCGATATTATCAATATACATATTAAAGTAACACTGGACTCGATATTATTATTATAATAAGGCTTAGCGGCGAAACCGACCACTTTTTATCAAATTATTAACAACACTGAAACTTATTAACTAGCTTTATCTCATCGTTATCTACAAACTATTTCATTTACGAAGATTCTCGGAATTAGAGCATTTTCAATCTGGAGATAGGTAAACTTTGTCTATTTAATTATGTACTAAAACTCGTAATTACTCATTTTCTTTCTACTTGAATCGTAAGATAATTTGAGCACAAAATCGGGAAAAAAGGTAGCCTTCATAAATATTTAGCCGTTTAGCATGACTTACACCCCCAAAATGTCAAAATAACGAAGTTATATAGGCCAAAGAGTCCAATACTTTTGTATGCCACCTTTTTCACCTTCAATATCTTTGATTCATGAGTTTACCGATACCACCAATCGATGTCTACGATCTTCCATTCACGAGCGCTGTCCAGATACAACCCCACCAGATCAGCCTTAATAACTCACGCTTCCTGCCCCCTCGCGTTGGTCTTTGGACGCTTGCCAGTTTGCACAGCGCATGTTACCTTTTTAGGAATTCTTTGGTTACTAAGCCCAGCAATTAGGAATATAATACGGCCAAAGTTTCATGAATCTTCAAATTCTATCGTTTATTTGGGAGATCTTGAATGGAGATTATTCAATCCATGTTTCATTTTTCTTCATATTTAGTTAGTTTTAATGTTTAATTGTTGATGTATAATTTCACAAATATTTCCTGTAAACATAAACATCATTATTGGCTATATAGATATTTTTTATTCAATATTACACTAATATCGATACCATAGTTTGGTATCAAAAAGGAGTATGGAATTTGCCTTGTATGGCCACAACCGTGAGCACTAGGAAAGTTTTGCGATTTGATATCATGCAAGAGGGGGGAGAGGGTTAGCGCAAGTGTGGATCGGTTCCAGTCTGCGCAGTAGTTTCCCTCTGACTGTACTTGTTAAATGTGCCCGAAATGTTATCATGGTCTAAAGTTGAATATAGAATGATTTTACGCTACAACTTTGCGCGTGGATTAAGTATCGATCAGTGTTTTGAGGAAATGGTGCCTGTGCTTGGAGAGGATTGTCCACACCGTTCAACGATATCCAGGTGGTACCGGGAATTCAAGAGAGGAAATTTTCAGCTTGAGGACGCCCCAAGATCAGGTCGTCCGGCTTCAGCTGTTACAGAAGAAAACATCAATGCTGTTCGGAAATTGCTTGAGGAAGACGGAGGAGTGACCTATCGCCAGATAATGAAGTCCTTGGGTCTTAATGCACCAGCAATTCGTAGTATTCTGCGGGACCATCTTCACGTAAAGAAGGTTTGTACTCTTTGGGCCTCCGTGACTGTTTTATATATATATATATATATATATATATATATATATATATATATATATATATATATATATATATATATATATTATGTTGGCATTACGCACCTTGTAGATCTTTTGCCGCTTTAACAAGCCTGCTCCATTTCTTCCTGTCCTGCGCTATTTCTTTCCAGTTATCTGCACGCAGCTCTATTACATCAGCTGATTCTATCTATTCATCTGCTTTTTGGCTTTCCAGGTGGTCTTTTGCTTTCTATTGAGGCATTCATTGTTACGTAGAGGCTTCCATCTTAACCTCCATGCCTTCTCATCATGGAATAAATTGGCCAGTTTCTGTAAATAGTTCTTTATTGACCTTTCTTCTTCATCAGTTGGTACCCTGATTCCAGATCGCACTGGTTATCGTACGGAGGATCTTTCTCTCAGATCATTCAGTACTTTTTTCCAGGGTGCTGGTTAGTTTCCAGGTCTCACAGCCATATATTAGAACTGGCTTTATCATAGCATTGCACACTCTTAATTTGAGATTTTTCGGGATTATAATTCCTTTGAAAGGGAGGAGAAAGTTTTATTTGCACTATTTATATGGTGGTCTATTTCTGACCGTTGGTAATTTACTGAGGTTATTGTGGATCTGAATTATTTGAATTTTTTTACTTTCGGGAACGATTTCACTTTTATGCAGATGCTGTTATTGGGGTGGAATTTTCGGCTTATTATCATATTTTTTTTTGTCTTCATTTATTTGTTGGCTGATTTGCTCTACCTCCCTTAGCAGAATTTTAGCGAGTTTCTCAATGTCCCCTTGATTACTTTCAAAGACAGCTGAATCATCTTCGTATCCAAGGATTTTTATGATTATATATATACTCTCCGTCAAAAGTATCGCAACACTTTGAAATATTTGTATTTTACAAAAGCATCCGTTTTTTTATAATAAAGAAAGGTTCTGAAGTATATAATAAATATTTTTATACTGGATATAACAAATTTTATTTTTAAAAATTACAATATTTCTTCTAATAAATATAAAAGTTAGAAAACTTCCTTTTTAATTTTTTTTTACAATGTTAACTTTTAAATTACAATTTGAATTTTTAATTTACATTTAATAAGACATATTGCCCCCTCTGACTTGAATGTATGTTTCCATTCCTCTTGGGGTATATTGTCCCACACTCCAATACCAATAGCTGCCTTTAGGATTTCAATGGTAGTAGGAGGTGAATCTCGTGACTGAACCTGCGTTATGACAGGATCCCAAACATGCTTGATTGGTTTAAGGTCAGGACTTCTTGCTGGCCAATCAATAGTGTGGATATTTGTGGTGTTCAGGTACTCAGAAACACATCGTGCTTTGTGAGATGATCTTGCTTTGTATTATCATGCATGAGCAATGGTTCATAACCTATGAAGGGTATACAATATATTGAACAATCATTTCTACATACCTTAAAGCATTCAAGACTCCTCCTTGGATTGACACTAACTCGGATTGGATCGGCACTAACACCTCCTCTCCCCAAATGGCTCAATTTCTAACGCGCAGCACTGACTATAACGTTCTTCAGGCCTTCTCCAAACTCTTTCAAGGCCATCTGATCTCTTAAGGGCACTGGTGGATATACGGGGGAGGGGCTATCGGGCTGAAGCCCTCTCCCTCCCCCCCCCAAAATGGTAAAATGTAACCATGTTTTACAGCATCTAAAAGACCTTTTAGAAATAATATATAGGATTTTAGAAAATTAAATCAGTAATTTGAGGAATTTATAACACCGTAATTAAAGAATAGAGGTGTCTATAAAGTAATTAAAATTGCTTATTAAGAGTTTCGTCCTATTGTGGGACACAGGAATTAGGGATGGCCATAGATATTATTGCAGTCATATGTACGATATTTTTCCATCGATAGTATCTGCTTAGATATTATCCACTATCGATACCTAAAAATAAAAATTAAAACTATTTATTTCGAAAAGCGCCAGGAATTATATATGAATCCACAGGCGGATCTACGGGGAATGAGCGGGGGAGGTGCTTTCGGGCTGAAGCCCACCCCAAAAGAAGATAAAATGGAACCATGTTTAACAGAAAAGAATATTAAAAATTATCTCTTAAAGTATTCTTGTTCGTGTAATTATATTTAATAGGACTTCAAAAACCACTTAAACACCATTTCATATATGTAATTAATTTCTTTATTTTTTTCAAATTAATTATCGTTATATGTATATGAAACGGTTACACAACGCCGAATTGCGTGAGCTGTATCTGGGTAATATAATTGAGGTAATTTCATCGCGGCGAATCAAATGGGCTTGTAAAGTTGTTGGGCTTAGCACGGGCGGATCTACGGGGGGGGGGGGGGGGCTTTCGGGCTGAAGCCCCCCCCCCCCAAAGTGGTAAAACATAACCACGTTTTATGAAAAAAAATAATTAAAAAATACCTCTTAAAGTATTATTGTTGGTGTAATTACATTTAAAAGGTCTTAAGGAATCACTTAAACACCATTTCATATAGGTAGTTAGTTTCTTTCTGTTTTTCCGAAGTAAATATCGTTATTTTTATGAAAAAAAAAGCTTCCGGGCTGAAGCCCCCCCCCCAAAAATTAAATTCTGGATCCGCTAGTGGGGCTTAGTAACGAGAGAATTCCTAAAAGGTTAATATTTGCTGTGCCGAATGGTAAGCGTCCGAGGGGTAGACCGAAGCGAAGGTGGGAAGATTGCATTAAAGCCGATCTGAAGGGACTGGGTTTAGACGGCGAACAGTGGAGGGAGGTGTGTAACAAGCGATTGGTGGTGTCGGCATCGAACCTTCGGGTTCGCTAAGCCTTATTATTATTATTATTATATGTATATGAAAAAAAAATCTTTCGGGCTGAAGCCCCCCCCCAAAAAAAAAATTAAATCCTGGATCCGCTAGTGATTAAGGGCCACTCTCGTCTCATCAGTAAATAAAACTTTTTTTCATTCCTCCACAGTCCAAGATTGGTGATAACCTGCAAACCTATTGTACTAAAAAAGGGACAGTCACCAATTTCAATCATTTTCACTTTCCTACCTATAGTAGGTAAGGAAAGTATTGCGTATAGGAAAGTATCAAATTTTCGATAAGCGTTTTTTTTTTTTTTTTTTTTTTTTCCCTGAGTCCAAAAAACACACTTTTAGCCATTGGTCTGTCTGTCTGTGCCAAGATTTTCTTGGGAACTTGGGAACCAATTTGGTTGCTTCTTTTTTTATTTTGTAGGGTTTTGACTACTGATGCCTGTGACAAAAAGTTGATGCTCCATGCGTAGTAACATGTTTTTCTATAGACTGTAGCGCGGCTCTAACGATTTTGATGAGACTTTTCTACAACGTTCTAATAATTATCCTTTCAATTTTCATACATGGAATAAATTCCCGAAACACCGTTTTGCCTGTTTTTTTTTAAAGGTGATGAAATTCCCTACCAAACTATATAAAAATCGTTCATTCCGGACAACTATTAACGAAGTTACAGCTATTCAATTTCCAATGTAAGATTACGGATTCATATCCTGGTGTCAGAAAGCGATGAATGAGAGAATAAAGATAACTAAGCGAAGTAAGAAAATCTGTAGCCCTCATAACACAAGCTACACTATTTCCTCTACTTTTAACAGAAATTATTGTTTGACAATATTAGGCTATGGCAAAAAGTTTTTGGTCAGCAATATTAGAGAGTATTGAAATTTTTACACTGATCTACCTTAAGCCGGTTTACATTGCTTTAGTTTATCAAATAAATCGTACTCAAATCTTTTCTTTGCTCAATCTTCAGGAAAATAAATCTAATTCATTTTTTTTCTGTTTCTTGATGGACATATGTAAACATATAAAAACTTTTCTGTAAAAGGTAGGAAAGTCGTGTGAGTGGACACACCAGATTGTTTTTTTTTTTGTTGACACTACATTGAAAAATATTGGACATATATATCTCGCTGTTCCAATATATCTTCCAATGGGCCCTAGGAGCCGACAAAAAATAAAGTTATTTAAAACAAAATTTATATTATTTATTTTTGCCTTCGCCTTGTCATAATTTTTATGGCATTATATATCAATCGATTTTTTTTTCGTTCTAAGTAAGAAAAAAATATTGACTATTAAATGAGTTATAATGTATCACAAATTACAAAAACTAAAAGGCGCTCCCTGTAAAGCAGGCCAAATAATTTTTTGTTAAATGAAAAAGGAAGTTAAATTCGTTTTTAGTGTCCTTTGAAACTCTTAAATACGAATTTTTAATAGTAAAAAAAAATTGCAAAATTTAATACTTGAGTTTCTTAGAGGATTTTTATTCCTGGCCGATAGCTAAAGCAATAATAATTTCTCAGGATTTCCTCCAAATTCAACATTATTACAACCGTTGGAAATGTTAAAAAATACCTTCCCAATCCATAACTTTTAAAAATTAAAAACAAAGAAAAACTTCCCAACTGTTTTTATTTTTTATCTTTGGCTTAAGTTATTTATGGAAATAGATTATAATACTGCAACTTAATAATTATTAAGTCACTGTACTACTAAACCTGTACTAGAGACGACTTGGAGAGTCCCTAAACTCATCGCTGAGTTCATCGATGGCATCGTTTTTCTTAGTGGCATCTATTCGTTGCCATCGATCAGTTCAGCGCTGATTATAAGAACCTAACCTTCCTGGTGGAAGGTAATATTTGTATCTCGAATGAAACAGTTTACTGTATCTGTTTAATGATAGAAACTATTCAAATTAAACAGATTACTACTAAACACAAATACGCCACCTCTACTAAACATCTGATACGCGATCAATACAAGTTTGAATATGTTACAGTTCTTATGTTGTCCGTAGTGAGTTGTTTTGTGAGAAAGATTTTTACACTATGTTCTAAACATGAGTGACATCAATTACGAACATCGTTGTGCCATCATGTTCTGCTTAAGACTTGGGTACAGTTCAACAGAAACATATGAAAAACTTTGTTTGGCCTATGGAGACAATGATTTCTCCAGAGCCCAGGTTTGTAGGTGGTTTAAGGCATTTGCAGAAGGAAGAGAATCAATCACAAACGAGGCTCCCAGTGGAAGACCTTCATCTTCAAGAACTCCTGAAAGTGTTGGCAGAACATCTTCAAGAACCCCTGAAAATGTTGGCAGAACATCATCAAGAACGCCTGAAAATGTTGACAGAACATCTTCAAGAACCCCTGAAAATGTTGGCAGAACCCACGATCCTGGTGAAAAGACTGACCATCAAACTGTTACTAAAATATTGAGTAATGGATTCAGGATGAGACAAATCTGTGCAAAAACGGTTCAGAAAAATCTTTCACAAGAAAAATGTGTCCGTATTTATTAGTTTATGTATGAATTTCAATATATATATATATTCATTACAAATAATTTTGGATTGATTTTTAATGTTATTAATGATTGTTTGGAAATTAATTATTTTGTTTTATTTTCAGAAAGTGTCAAAAGTATCAATCCCTGTGAAGGTTCTTAACAATGCTACTTACTGCAAAGAAGAAGAAAATTATGATATTTCTCAAAGCACTGACATCAAAATTAAGGTTCACAATTATGTATTTATTCCTTATTTCATATGGACCTGTAAGTAAAACTGATTATATCAGTTATCTTTTTTTTTTGCTCAAATACAGGTCCATCCTGAACAAATTCATCCTCTCCCCATTTATATTATAATTGTATGAGATTAATATGTGAGAAGAAAAATTAAACCACTGATTAGAGATAGATTTACAAATTTAATGAACTAAATAAAAAAAAAATCAAACAGTTTAGTTAGGTACTGGTCATGTATGTAGACATGTATTTGCTTTATATATAATGTATTTTAAAAAATAATGAGAAATATTTAAATTAAAACATGTTTATCTATCCACTTTATGACTGAATGAAAGAATAAATTGAAAGAAACTCAGTTCCGTTTTCGGTGGCTAGTCAACCTAACCGTTATATGCATTATTAAAAAGTGCCATTTTACAGGTTGAACCAACTTTAACTGATGATGTCTATCAAGATAGTGTTGTTTCAGAAGAGAAGGCAAAGGATTTCTTGGTAGATTGCAGTCGAATCAAAGAGGTTTGAATTATTTTTTTTTTTAACTTATAAAAGTAGAATAACAATAGTAGAACCTTCCTTATCTGTGAGTCAATCGATATCAAGTGGTTCAAAATAAATTAAGTTGTTTGCTTGACCACTTTTAATTTTGTTTATGTTGTGAATGCTAATTCCTCCATATTTCCAGATAAAAAAAATCTGGTATGCGTACCACAAAACTTTCACTTACCACTCCGAATAGAGTAGAAATATCGCTACTGTTAGGGCAAAAGGTCATATGTTACAATTTTCTTTGTTAATTATATTTGTTCTAAAGGTGACATTTTTTAGTCTTCTACTATGGGAAATACTATGAAGAAATAAATCATAAAGAAATAATCAGTTTTTTTGTTCTTTTATAAGGAATACAGGATGGTTACACCTATTTCTGAATTTCAAGTCTGCTTATGATAGTGTAACCTAACTTGAGCTCTAGCAGGTGCTAGAAGAAATGGACATACATAGGAAGCTGATTCGGCTGGTGAAGATGACCATGTTGGGGTCGAACAGCGTAGTTCGTATCGGATCTGACCTCTCTGAACCTATTGCCACGATCTGTGGCGTGGGGGACGCTGTTGTATGCCTTCTCTTTAATTTGGTGGAGTGAGCAGTACGTATATCAAGAATCCAAACACGGGCCACCTTATTCAATAGTATGGTCCAGCTACTGGGGTACGGAGATGACTTCGACATAGCTGCCAGATCGGAGCGTGTCCTTTAGAACTTAAATTTAGATTATTCTAGATTAGAAGCATTCCTTGTTCTAGAATAAGATGCCAAAATTCTTGTCTTGGTCATCAACAAAGCCAAGACAAAGTATTTAAGATTAGGACCATCAGAGGTAGGAACAGGTTTTTTTGTTTTTTTTCTGTTTTTTCCTACCTCGCCTTTTAGGCTATATGGGATTTTCCCGGGCCGGGGGGTGAGGGCGGGGAATTTAAAATCCCCTCCGGCACCGGGACGCGAACTTGTACTTTTTCAATCTTCTCAAATTTGTAATCCGGTTGCCAGGCAACTCGCGGTGCTGTGCATTCACTTTAGCCTATTCGGCCACCCCGCCCCCAAAAGGTAGGAACAGGTTGTCTCGAAGTTGGAACATACAGATTTGAGAGAGTGCAAAGTTTCATATAGCTGGACTCAGAAATAAATACTCAAAATGATCTATCCCAGATCAACTGGAGAATTGCCGCAGCAAATCGATGCTATTTAGGGCTTGCAAAATACTTCAAGAGCAGACATCTCCCTAAGAAGACCTAGATCGGCCTATATAAGACCCTGATTCTTCCAGTTATCATGTATGGGTCAGAGACCTGGCCCTTCACCAGAGCCAATGAGAACCTCTGTCTGGTGTTTGAACAGAAGATATTGAGAAGAACTTTGGTCCGGTGTGAGAGGGAGCCACCTGGAAAAGGAGGAAGAACCAGGAACTTTCAAGGCTGTACAGAGATCCTGATATCAAGATCGGGAGACTCCATTGGGCAGGCCACGTGGCAAGGATGAAGGAGGACGAGATCTCCAAGAGGACATTGGCTGAAGAGCTTCATGGCAAGCGAAGTGTGGGTAGGCCAAATTTGAGGTGGGCTGACTCCATCACAGCAGATGTACACAATCTCCTCGGCTTTAGGAACTGGAGAGCTGTCACAACAGACAGAGCCAACTGGCAGAGACTTTTGGAGAAGGCCTAGATCCGGCGGGTTGTTGCGCCAATTATTTATGTATGTATGCTCTTCTGTAAAAAGATTCAATTTTTACATACGATCTTTGGCACTAACATTAGCGAAATGTATTTTTAAACTTTTTTTTTCAATATTTTTCATGGCAGATGTTTTGGATAAAACTCATAATTTTTGTAAAAGATCCACTTTTACATTTCGTTTATTTAAACTTTTATTTTTTAATTTGTCAAGTCAACTAGCAATTATTTTTTAACATTTGTGCATTTCCTTTAATATTTTGAACCTCCCTACATTTTTTTTTGTATGGTGATCAATTGTTTTAAATTATTATATTTTACAATCTGTAATTTTTACTTTCATTTTCCCATATATGAAAATACCTAAAACGTGAAAATATTTCTACTCAAGATGAGTGGTAAATGAAAGTTGTGTATGCACACACTATCCTAGATTTTTCTTGTTTTGGATTCCTCTTTATTAGAAGTTGATATGCAAGAGCGTTATTACTTTCTTATTTTTGTTTTTTAATTGTAGGAAGCAAATCCAGATTCTGGTAATGAGGAAGAACATCTAGATTCTATGATAGATATTAGTGAAACGACTTTTATCAAGCAAGAAGATAGGTGCTATATTGGTGTAGAAATTAAGATGGAGGAGAACTGTACAGGTGTAGGTGTAAAAATTAAGATGGAGGAGAGCTGTACAGGTGTAAACATTAAGAGGGAGAAGAGCAGTACAGGCGTAAAAATTAAGAGGGAGGAGTGCTATACTGGTGTAAAAATAAAGAAGAAAAAGGTAAGATATAATTCATAAGAAAATGTATGTTCCTCTACCATATATGAGGTGGAGTTATATTGTTAGGAAAAAGAAAAACTATGGTGTGTGCTTAAAACCACACGATAGAAGTGCTTAAAACCACACGATAGAAGTGCTTAAAACCACCGGATAACATCAACAAGGCAGGATTAATAATATGAAATGTTTAAAACAATTGTGATTATTTAGTTTTTGGCGCTATCTTTTTCCCTTTTCAACTTTCTAATATGTCATTGTATTAAGATACAATTTTGAATTATAGCTCATTATAAAGAGAATGAAATGCTGAAAACTTCCCTTTCTTGTATTATGCAGGAGGGGTATTGTTCCTTCTGTAAGATCCGTCCCATCAACAGCAAGAGTGGCACTTCTCTAACCACCCATGCAGAACAGCTGAGGCATTGGGAAGAACACTTTTTCAGAGGTGTTATACCGAAGCAGTGGAACCAAATTTTTGATTGCCGGATTCTGGAAAAACTACGATTGATGTATCCTGTAACCTATGATGGATGTATGTAACACTTTAGTCACAGAAATCACTGAAGCACTGTCAGAACTGAAAACTGACTAATCTCCAGGAATCGATGGCATTCCCGCAGAAATTCTGAAGGTCGATGCACTAGCCCAAGCAAATATAGTTGAATCAGGAATTTCAGGAAAATATGGATAGAGAGGAAAATACCTTCAGAGTGGAAGAATGGGCTCATTATAAAAATTCCAAAGAAAGGCGGCATCTCTGAATGCATGAACTGACGAGGAGTCACACTGCTTCCTGTACTCAGTAAGTTTCTAAACAGGGTGTTTTTAGGGTGAGTTTTTGTTCTTCCCTACCTCGCCTTTTAGGCTATACGGGATTTTCCCGGGCCGGGGGGTGAAGGCGGGGAAATTTTAAAATCCCCTCCAGCACCGAGACACGAACTCATACTTTTTATATCATCTCAAATCTCTGTTATCCGGTTGCCAGGCAACTAGCGGTACTGTTACACACGCTTTAGCCTATTCGGCCACCCCGGCCCCTAAACAGGGTGATCTTGAAGAGGATCAAACAATCAGTTGACCAGCTTTTGAGGAAGGAACACCGAAGCTGTACTGATCTCGTCAATACTCTGCGGATAACCCCGTTGCAAAACGTCAAGTCATTTGGTTTTCAACATTATCTTTTTCCCTTTCCGACTCTTGCACGACGTTGCATCAAGATATAATCCCCACATATATTATTACAGTAAGACTCGAAATCGGTTTTGTACCAAATATAAGCTCCTGTCATGCTCAAATACCATGAATGGGGTACCGTTGGATTCAGAATTTCACGCGGGGTTAGCGAGTCGTATTCTCCACTTTTGTTTTTCTTTCTAAAATAAACAAAGTCGATACAAACATTTTGCTCCTCCGGAACTATCGGATTCTGTGTTTTTAAGCCCAAAACGTACTATTTTCGAGATAACGCAAGGCATAGGGTTCTCATCCACACAACCTTACGTTAATTGTAGTACTGTCATTGAATACATGTCTCATTTCGTCGACTTGAGGTCTCCATGATCGAGAGAGGAGGAGTTTATATTATTTATTGATGGTGTTTTTGATCAGCAAGCCATATCATTGTCAATTTTTCACCAAATCTCAAGATTGAGCCACCAATTTCGAAGTCTTCCTTCTCCTTCAGGCGGGCAAAATAATCCAATCACACCGAAAATTCAGGCAAACAAGTCATGAAAGAAAGCAAACTTTATTATCAAATAACTAAAAAATTACTCACTTTTTCCTATGTTATGCCAGTGATTATATAAAAGCTTACTAAATTCCCTACACAATGAAAATAAAAATCATTGAAATCGGACGAGTTTTAGCAAAGTTACAGCTTACTGAAATTTTTAAACATGTTGGTTCCAAACCAAAATGAAGATTTAAATTAATTTTTGTTTTATTTGTTTTATATTTCTCAATAAATATCATTTTATTAATTTTGTTTTACAGATTGAACCAGATCTATATAGTGAAGATGATGTCTCCTGATGACTATAAAATTTAATAGTAATGTGGAAAAACAAAGACTGTACAAATATTTAATTGTAAAATGTAAAATAATTATGAAGCAGTATTTTTTAAGTTTTGTAAATAAAAGTAAGTATTTACAGCATGTAAATAATAATTAAATAATTTTATATAATGACGAAGTATTTTCTGAAACCTTTAATTCAACTCTTTGTTTTCTTTTAAGACATATACTTCTATCAACTGACTTACATTTGTTTTGTGTTAATTTTTACTTTCGGGAGTAGGGTAGCTCAGTGGTAGGGTACTGAGCTTCCAATGCTTAAAGGTCCCAGGTTCGAATCCCAGAGCATAGCAGAAAAATTATTTATTATGTTTCATTGGCTGTGGGACGAGCCAGGGTAGATAGAACCCTCTAGGGCTCACCCAGCCTCTATAAAGTGTTTACCCTTAATTAGTATAATTAATTAAGGGAAAACAACCTGGCAGTTGAGCGTGATCTTGGTCAAATCACCTCCTTGCACAGCCGTAAATCAAGAAACAGTACTTTCCCTAAATTAGTACGTAACCCAAGACCCTTCATGGGTTGTAGTGGTACAGGTTATTTTTTATTTTAATTTTTACTTTCATATACCTTTATATAAAATATATATTAAGAGAAAGTATTGGTATTGTGAACAATTTTGAATCCTAGTTTTTAACAGAAATAAATGTTTTAATGTCTCCTAAGTCCAAAGAATTTTTGGACTTTAGACTATTAATGTCTCCTGAGTCCAATTAACCAAGTTTCGCAGAATAGTGCGTGTCTGTATGTGAACAGCATATTTCAAAAATATACGACACTGAAATTACATATTTAACACATTGTTGACTGGTGATGAGGTAACTCGTCATTGCAAAAATAATAGCTGGTGACATGATATAGTTTCTGTTTAAAATTGCCGGTCAACAAAGTGTTAAGATGGGTTTATGACTGGAATGTTGAGCAAATTTTTCAGGCTTCCCTTGCTTCGTTCGACCCCAATCTACTTTATGCATTTAGGTATATTCACCATTTCCATCATACTTCAGTCCTTCTTAAGAAATATTCATAACAACAATTGTTTCTTTGTAAAATCAATATTTATTTTTAAATATACAATTTAAAAAGTTGATCTTGATGCGTCTAAAATATATCATAATACTGCAGTTCCTTATGAATCCATCCTATAAATTAAAAAAAATGCTTTATAAGTTTTTTTTACAAATTTAGGAACGTTATAATTAGACAAATATGTAATATTTATATGTATATTGAATATTTTATTGATTTTTTTTTTCAAAGTGAAATATTTACCATAAAATTTTATTAGCTGCTGATCAAGGATGAAGGGAAGCTGATGATGTTGCCTATGATTGTTTTCGCTGCGTCAACTGCAATCTAGAGGAATTAAATATAAAATTTTAGTTACTTTATAAATGTAAAGAAGTAAAAAATACAAGAGACAGAAGATCTATGTAATTTATAAAAGGAAAATTCCAACCTGACAGCCTTGTGTCTTTAAAGTGGATGTAAAGAGTAACATAACCTATGTACGTTTCACCATAAAAAAAATAATAATAAATAAAATAAACCTATGATCACATTGCTCCATTTATATCCATTCGCACACTGTCATGGAATGATGGGATCTTGGTTTCTTTTCTTTTCTGTCCTGATGGTGCCTGAATTGGCGAAACATTGATGGGTTATTTTATTCTTTACCTGCATTTTAGATACATAAGGCTGTGTGGTTGGAATTTTCTAATTATAACCTAACATCAATTTTATGGTTAGCTTTCTTGGAATTTTTGGATTTCGTGTATTTTTTTAATAATTTGTGATTAAAATTTTTCAATTTTATATTTTTTTTCTGTTGGTTTTGCAGATCTTATTGATATTTGGCCGCCTGAACGCATCTTTCTATCCTAAGATATTGCTTTTTGGTTTCCTGATGGTTTTTGTACATTTCTTGGCAAAAGAAACAATATAATATATGAAGACAAATTCTATGTATGTTTATATATATATGTATGTTTATATATTATATATTGGATTTTTTTGCGTATGGGTTTCGGATATATTTGAAAATATGTTATCAAAGCAGTTAACATGTTAGCTGCGGTTACAGTCCCTGGCGTCTGATAGCTTTATATCAAATGTGATGTATTTTAGAGACTTCGTAAGATAGGCAAAAAATCCAGGCGAAAATCGAGACGAATATCGGAATCTAGGAACCGTAGCGGCAGCTAACGTGTTAAATATATAACCTGTACGACTACAACCCATGAAGGATCTTGGGTTCAGTACTATTTAGGGAAAGCACTGTTTCTAGGTCAACGGTTGTGCAAAGAGATGATTTGACCGAGATCACGCTCAACCACCAGGTTTTCCCCCTTAATCAATTATTTAATTAAGGGTACCTACTTTATAGAGGCTGGGTGTGCCTACCATAAATTTTCTACCATGAGCCAGGGTTCAAACCTGGGACCTTTTGCGTTGGAAGCTCAGTTAAATATATAACATATTTTAATTTTTAAAGGATATTTATATTTTAAAGGATGATCCGGGTTGGCAGTCATAAATAACCGATATTTATGATATCGGTATAATATAAAATATATTACATATACATATAAAATAATATTTATGACTGCCACCCTGGACCATCTCCTTCCTTTATAATGTAACGGTCAACTATTAAATATTAAATTTTTATTTTTATTTTTCATTTTTATATATAAAATATATATATATATATATATATATATATATATATATATATATATATATATGTAACATATTTTTATTTGTATATAAAGTTTTGAGGCAGTTAGATGAACTCTAAATTCTCCGATACTTCAAATTTGCTGTGAGAAACGTGATAAAACCTTCATGTGTAAATGGAAGGGGGTGCATGAATAAATTATAAAATCCTAGGATATGTTGCTAAGTATAATTATCTTTGAATATTAACTAAAATTTCAATTACAAAACATAGGACGTTGTAAAATACTTGTGTACCTACATCTAGGCCTTAGCATAGCATAGCCATGTATTAGATTTCCTATTTTATTAATTAATTTTAGTCTACATATTCCATTCATTCATGTAGATTAATTGATATTTTTTTCTTCGAAACATTGCGGGAAGATGATATTCTCGTCCCCCCTCCGAAGTGGCACCTATGCTTGGTATTTTAATTAATATAATAATTACATTTTAAAATTATAATTAGAATTCTTTCTTCACAGATCTGGTCTAAGTATGTTTTTTATTGTCTATAATAATTAGAGTTCTACTTGTTTTGGATCATGAAGAATACTTGATTAGGCTATTTTAAGAAAATGAGTTATGAAGAAAAGTAAATTTCTCACTTACCCCAATGTTCTTGGTCAGATCTCCAACAAACAAGCGGACAATCTCCTGAACCATAGATCCTATTTCCTTCTGGGTCTCTGAAATGTTGCCGCTTATCTCTTTAGCTCCACCAGCTGCAACCTAGCATTAGTGATTGGTATCAATTGTGTTTGATTGTAATAAATTTTGATATAATTAGTAAAATCTTTCTAATCAAATAATAATGGTGTATGTAAACTAATAAGGAATTATTATTGGAAAAAATGTGTTGTTTTTGTCCAAATACAGATGAAGTTATTTTTTTGTTTCTGAAATATCCAAACCATTATTCCAAAAAACATTATTGTTCTAGTAATTACCGCTAACAAAAAAATAATATATGAATTTATGTAGCTCCTAATTGTAACTACCTGTCAAGAAAAAAATATGCTTTAAAAGGTAAAAAATTACATTTATTAAAAAGAAAGGTTAACTTCCAAAATTAAATTATGAATCTGCTACTGTTCTACCTATATTCGAGCAAATATGGAACATTCTTTAAGCTGTTGAATGAATATGATTTCTATATATGTCTATTGCCACTAATTAATAACTTACGATAATATTTTTAAGTATTTCATCAATCAGTTTGTCTACTGCAGCGGTGAAGTTTTCTGAAATATTTTTGAGTTGAAAAACGTTAGATCCAGCCTCCTGTATAAAAATTAATATATAAACATGTATAAAGATAAAGATAACTAAGTGTATAATGAATGAAATTTAGATTAAGAACATAAATATCCTCTAAATATTACATACCTTAATTTTTTCAATGGTGCTGCTCACTAAGCATTGACTTTTTCAGTAGCATCTTGAATGAGTTTCTTCTTGGTCTCAACCATTTTTCCTCCAACATCCTTGATGGTGTTTACCACACCCTAAAATTATAAATTTTTTTAAAGAAGAAATTTTATAAATATTTGTTTTTAATTTTCGTTCGTATTACCTTTATTTTTTCAATGATCTTTCCACCCAAATTCTGCAACACTTCTTGAGCCTTCTTGGCGATATTCTTTTTTACGTCTAAGATGCTGGAACCGATGTTCGTCAATCCTCCATATATACTCTATCAAATAAAATTAGATTGTCAATTAAATTTGATTGAAGATAGTAAGAGCTTGCATATAACAATCATAGAAGTTTTGGTTAAAGTCTGTCTTAAGAAAGTATCTGCTAGAGTACATTTTTTAAAAATAAATTATTTCTTGTTATGCTCAATGTGAGTCCCTGAAACTGTTCCATTAAATGTTTTTTTAAAATTTCACCAAATTTTGAAAAATTACTATAGCATATAAAAGGAATTAAAGAAATCTGACTGGTAATATACACACTTTTTCTGGCAACCTGATGAACTAAAGATAATATGATAAAATAATTAGGAGTTCGCGTACCGATGCCGGGAGAGGGGGATGAAGGTACTATTATTTCTGGCATTAATCTCCTGCCCTCTCTTCTGTACTACATATAGTCTAAAAGGTGAGGAAGGAGAGAAAAAAAAAAGTACCTAGAGGTTTCCGCCACACACTACAACATTGAAATTAGATATTCATTTTCCAGGGCACTAAAAAATAAATTGGTTCAGCATTTTTTTACACATGTTTTGTCTCTTAATATACCATTACAGCAATTTCATGAAAAAGAAAGAAATTTATTTGACTAACAAACTAAAATCTCAACTCTTGATTCAGTCGGACTTAATTTAATGTCTGTTTACCAACTTAAGAGTATAGATATCCTTTGGAAAGATTTTTTTTTTTTAATTTAAAGAAAAAGCAGATTTATTTAAATTTAATGCAGTTGATTTAGCCCGAGCCAGATACC